CAACCTTTCTAAGTAGCCAAATATCCTAAAATTTTACAAAAATCGCCATTAACTAAGTTTGTTCATCACCATTAATGTGTCATTTAGTTTCCCAAAAAACCTTTAGTTGTTACCTTTAGAGTCCCAGATTTAAAATGACTGGCCAGGTCAAAATGCTGACCTTCTGCCCTGCTCCTTGCAATATCCTATGACCCAAATTTGTTGTGGTTGAAGTTTGTCAGGTCTTCTTTAGCATGAGATAGTGTGAGATATGTGACATCCAGTGTTTTCCAAGGACATGCTGTGACATGCAAACAAACAAACCTGTACAGAGGAAGATGAGCAAATTTTCTTAGAGCCACTGGCGGTTCTTTTGTTTCATTGGAGTTTTTTAAATTTCAGTTCTGCTGGACCTGACCAGAGTTAAAGCAGATTATTAAGGGCTTTGTTCAAATGGCTCCAACTGCTGACAGGCTTGAAGCATTGGCCATCTCTGTAGGAAGCCTCTTCCAGTGTTTGTTGGAAGTGAAGGGGAGGACAGGGAACCTGCCTCCACAATTTGTCCAATGGATATGGACATTTTCTAGGAACCTGGGTACTGCTCTAGCAGTTCATACCCTGCATTTTTTGGGGGAAGCCCTCTTTACTCCTTGGCATATGCAACTTAAGTACGGGAGATTTTTTTAATTTCACTTAATTTTCCCAGTGAAATTTTGCCCCCAGTTGTCCTTCCAGATTTTTTTTTTCATAAATTAGCACTCACATTCAATGCAACCATCACTCATCTTGTAACTTACAACAAAGCAAAAATCTCATTTGGCCTTCCCATGAAGCATGGCCATCCTGAAAAGGACAACTGCAAATTGAGAAAGCAGTATATTCAATTTTTAATACCTTCATACTTCTGTTAGGACCACCAGAAATGAAGACAGGTGGTAACTTTTTATTTCACCTTAAACATTCAGCAGATGACCACAGCAAATAATAAAACTGTCTGCCTACTCCAGATGAAATATTGTCTTTTATGACAATTTTGCTGAACAGATTTTGGCTTTTTAAGCTAATCAAGAGTCATCTATGAACAGACTGTGTTCTTTATCAAATGTCTGTGTTTGCTCAAAATTTGCCAACTGGCTATATTCCCCAACCAAAATGTTTTTACATTTATTTCCATCACAAATTCCCTCCTGCCCTAACCTTTCTGAGGACTACAAACGAGTAACATTTGGTGCTGAGTTTTATATTGAATATCAAGAGATATCTCCTATCTTTACTTTTACATGGTAGTTAACTCATATCTTGCCATAATTCCAATAGCACTTTTTTTCTTTATTTGCCAGCTTGTCAAGTGGGATTTGCAAAATACACTCTCTGTTCTCAAGAGCACTGCTAGCTCCACACTGTCTTCACAGTAAAAGCACTAAATTAAATTCATGGCTGCTTCACAGTCACATCCTTCTGAGGACTTAGCTGAAGCTGGTATTATTTAGCTGCGAGGTGCATTACAGTAAATGGAAAAATTAAGAGTGATTTTCATGAAAATTTGGACTCTTTTCTCTTCCTTCCTTCTACTTGTACTTCAGTATCACTTTTTAGCATTACTGGGAGCATTTTTCAGTTGTGTGCAGCCAGGATGTGGAGTTTGGTTTTTTGGTTGGGTTTTGTTTGTTGTTTTTTTTTCTTCTTTTCCTTTCCGGTTAGCACTGTATGTGTGCACATGCCCTCATCCTCTAAGATTTACTGACAGAAACAGAGACTAAAATCAAAACTGTGATTAAAAAAATGACCCAGACTACTGAGAAGCTGTTAAACTATTAAAGGAAGATTTGCATTACATCCAATAGAAAATTAAGTATGATATTTAGGACACCTGAATTCTTCAAGGTCATCCAAAAATTAATGGTCTAATTTGAGTGACTTCAATTAATCCAATATTCACATGACTTATGACTTACAGTTTTTCTTTGTTTAGTGAAAACTAAGGTCTCTAAAATTAAAAAAGAAAAAAAAGGAAGAAAGCTAACAAAATATTTTTTATTAGTCTTTGTAGATCAATGACATTTTCTTCCGAGGGCTGAGAAACAAAGAAAAAAAAAAGTTTCACTGTTCAGGGTTCTGCTTTGCTCTTTGTTACATTTCATAGACTTACTGAGGAAAAATACAACTTTATAGAGATGGCCCATGACAAATATAGTAATACATTTGCATTTATTAAAAGCTTGCCCTATGGAAACTTAATTGAACACTGTTTTTCTCTGGCTGAACACAATTACATGATTTCTTTTGTTTTAAAAACCCACAGATTTCTAACTGATTGTTTTAAGTGAATTTTACAAATTCAAATGCATAAGTGTATATATACAAATAATTTATAATTATATATTTATAATTATGAAAATGAAATAGAGTGGATTTTGACTCTGGGAAGTTAAGTTTAGGGAAAAGAGTAAATGGTAAATAGTAATAGTAAATCTCATTCTGGATTTACTGAAAAATATCTTATTTACATATAAGGATTTTTATACTTCTGATCTGGAGACAATTTATTCAGAAAATTCACATGTTGCTTTCTACTACAATACAATTATTTCTATAGGTGTCATTAAGAAAGTCATCTCTGTAGTGTGGGACTATATGCTTGCAACCTTAATTTAGGTGTTCATTCCAAAATAGTCAAAAGCAAATTATTCAGCCACCAACTATTTATTCTCTTTGGAGGTGTGCATGTTAGATTGAAATATGATAATCCAAAGCATGGTTTGCTGAGTTCGTACATACTTAAGGGAATGGCCTGTTTTTAAACATTGGCAAATCCTTTTACATTTTGTTTTCTACCTCCATCACCTACACGGAGGCTTGCCTCAGGAAATACATGGATACTGTCCTTATCTCCTGCAAGAGTTACTGATGTTTATGCTATCAGGTTTTTTTAACTGATTTAAAAAATTGAGAAAGATCTGAAGTAAGCTTTCATGTAGTAGATAGTGAGTGCTGTGCACTATCTGCTTTTTGTGACCTCCTCCATAACCTGCTGCTTAGAAGCTTCACAAGAGAAATTCTGTGCCAAGCCCAGGTTCTTCCAGAGACTTAGTGACTGAGAACAATTTCATTTTCTAGCTACAAGAAAGCAGAATCAGTGATAAATTCACAGTGTGCTAGTCCGATGGGACTAATCAGCTGATAAAACGCCCCAAAAGGTAATTTATTGAGGCTATATATTAGCATATACAGGCATAGAGATGCCAAGGCTATGCTGTGCATAAGTGAGGGTGCACAAGCACTGGCATGCTCTCTGCTTCCCTGGGTGAATGTTCTGTCATCTTGCATACAAGGTTTTCTATTCTTCCCATGTCTCTCAACGTGAATCTCAGTGGTGTTTCTTTCATGTGATTTGAATGGGAGCTGTGAGCCTTCTCTCACAAAGAAAGTGCATTGCCTCTGGAAAGAATTTATTTGTGCTTTCTTTCTAGCTGCTCCTTGCTTGGTGGTACTGGTGGTGAATGTATGGTAGTGAGGAGCACATGAACTCATTCAGTCAGATTATGCTATATTCACAAAGCTTTTTAAATTCACCATCGCGTCTGTTTGCTATGCTAAGCTCATCTGCAAAATAGTTACTGAGGCAAAATTTTCTTGCCCAGCTGCAATGAAACCCAAGGAAAGCAAGATAGATATCCCTGCATTTGGGATCTCTGCTGTCCTATGAATTCCCAGCTGAAATTTCTGAGTTTTAGTGCAAGCAAACTGAGAAGACCTACCAAATCAGAGCCTTTTCCAATGATAAATGTAAGGACAGTGTTCATAGCTTGATTTGAAAGCCATATCATAGCTACATTAGGGTAAGGAACTATTTTTTAACTTGAAAGTTTTGGTGAACTTGCAGATTTTTACCTCCTTTCATCACATTAAAATGACAAACATCTTCTCCAACCTGGATTCAAGAAGTGTCAGTTAACAGCTAGTCACATCCTACTTTCCTGGTGCACACAAGGTGTTCCTGAGACAAAGTAATGGATTGCCATTGCCTGTTAAACATCCAGGAACGTGGGAGGCCTGCAGATAAAAGCAACTTGCAGTTTGGAGCATATTGTCATTGAATGGCTTATGGGGAAAGAACCAAACAAGGAGGTTTCTTACTTCTAGCTGCCTCGGGGCCCCACAGCTCAGGTCTGCAGTGCCTTGGGGTCGGCACTGGAAGTGTCTGCAGCAGCTCAGCAGGCAGAAGGCAAGCAGGGAGCAGCCCAGGACCCAGCAGGGTCTGATGTGGAGTGCAGCCAAAAAGCAGCATCCTATGACAGTGCTGGCCCAGCTGCAAATCAGTGGGAAAACCTTTGTGTGAAGAAAACCTCTTCTGCCACGTTGTTTCTGCTGAGAGGAAGGAGACTTCAGTGTCTGTTCCTGCTGCAGTTTCACAAAAACTTAGTGTTACGAACTTTGGCTGACTTTCTGTAGCAATCCCATACTGGCATACCTAGTACCAGTTTTAACTAAAAGGACTGTTTCTGATAACTTGATAAGTGATGCTGATTTATATTGTTTAGTTATCAACGCTGAAAGAGATATTGCTATCTTGACCTTCAAAAACATGAGATTAAAGAAAAAAAACTTCACATGTAACAAAAAGTAAATTTTTCAAGGAAATCACTTCAAAAATTATTTCAGTGAAAATCTATCTTCTTGATTAACCTTCCCTAAAATAAATAATATTGTGGAATGAAAAGGAAAAATTAAAAAAACCCCCAACAAATGAAATATGACAACTTGATTAAACAGGTGGTTTCTCATGAAGCACTTCACTTTTAATGAATCTCTGGGGTCATAGTGGGCAAGTTTTTTTTTGTTTGTTTGTTTGTTTTTTGTTTGTTTTTTTTTAATTAATTATCCCTGATGGCACCTTGTTTATGCCTCTAAAGCTTTATAACAGAAAGAAGGAAATCCCTTTTATATATTGCTGGTTTTTTTCATATTTTCATGTAATTTCATCTTTCTTTATAACAATCCTTTTTTTCTTACTATTGTAGGCAATGAGAGCTTAGAAGAAAATTATGTGCAGGACAGTAAAATGGGATTTGTCATCAATGCAATATATGCTATGGCTTATGGGCTACAAAACATGCACCATTCCCTTTGCCCCGGGCATGTTGGACTGTGTGATGCTATGAAGCCAATTGATGGCAGCAAGCTCCTGGAGTTCCTCCTCAAATCCTCATTCATTGGTGTTTCTGGAGAAGAAGTTTGGTTTGATGAAAAGGGAGATGCCCCTGGAAGGTAAAGAGGTTTCATCTCAACTATTAAACCAGAAGGTGGGAAGTGGGAATGTTACTGTGTTTGGTGATGTAGATTTCTTTGGCTTTTTTTTTCTGAAAAATAAAGCAAGAACCAGTCTTTCCAACAGCCAGGAATAACGCTGGTAACACATGGTATCTTATATTGGGACAGGAACCACAGTAGAGCTTATTAATTTCTGGTGCTACAGGAGATGAAAAACCTTGTAACTCACAGACTTCTGATGTGCAAGGTAGTATTTGGTCTCGGGTACCAGGGTTTTAGCATGTATAAAGTCTAATAAAATGATTGGAATTTAATGAAGAATTTACCTGACATGGTTTTGAATAGAGGGCTGTAGTGCTCATCCTATTCCAACTGGAGCTCTGCTGAAATCTTGCCAGAGAATATTTAGTGTTGATTGGTAAGATCCTTTATGATCTCCTTAATTTGTTTCACTCTAAATAGAATCAGAGCAGTCCCTGAATTTAAACATAGGTCTGTGTAGAGCAGGACAAATAATAGAGGTTTTTTGGCAGAAGTGTCTCTGTTTCACTCATTTGGGGTCTGGTCCCAGCTCTGGCAGCTGCTGCTGTTTAGCCTGCAGCAGACACAGGATGTACCCAAGCAGTGGGTAAGGCAGCGCCTTTGTGGACTTGGATGTCACCTTTGTTTCTCTTATGGGAGCAAATTCACAGAGATCTTTCCTTTCATTAAGTTTTGTGCGTTCTATTTTAGCACAAGGATTTTTTTCTTTATTTTCTTTTTTATAAATACATTTAATTCAGCTGCTGAAGTACAAAGTCCATTATTAATTGAAACCTACCCAGGGATTGCTTCACTGAAGTTTGTTTTCCTACTGAGTTGTTGAAGTGCTATAAAAGGCTCTCTCACTCCATCTTTGGGCTTATTGCATAAGTGCATCTGAGTGCCAGCACCACACAAAGGGAGGGCTCTGGAGCAAACAAGAGTTTTCACTTCTTTTCATGCCTCCAATGAGTATTCATAAGGCACAGTGGTCTTAAAGCAACTCTTATCTCTATTACTAGGTTTTATTAGCAAAACTGGCCAATGTTTTGCCATTTTCTAGATTGTTATGGTTTTTTTTCTATTGTCATATTTAAACAGTATATACATTTAAACAGTTTGTTACATTCAATTAGTAACAAAAAAGCTAGTCGGTTTGGTCTTGTTGAGCACTGACTTCAGAATTTTTTTAGTCAAAGATACAGACCAGTTGAGGTTGGGCTTTGAAAGTAAAGCAAGCAATTCCCTTACATTTGAACACATACTTATTGACACGTGCATAAATCAAGTCTTTGCACATATAATTTAGATAATATAGAGAAATTACTGCTTAGTGTAGCTTTATGCTTTTTGCACACTATTTGTGTCCATAAAAGCATTACTCCAGCTTTGCATATGCTGCATTTTCTGTCTGTTAGCTATTTGATTTGATGTTTAGATGTAATTTTCCAATTTTAGCCTAATTCTTATTTATTATTTTGTTGCCCAAGAGCATTTCCACAACTCTCATCAGTACCAAGCATAAAATTAGATTGAACAGTTGCTGAATTTAAAACATAAGTGAGTTTATATCAGGATATTCCTCTGAGTATGCCAGAATGGTAGAATTTATTCCATCCATCATTTTGGGGTATAGCAAGGTTCATTTTTCTTGATTCCCTGGCCTACTTAGAATTTGATAGGTTATTTTAGGTAGGGAATTTTTTTGTTATTGATCCTCATTTATATTTTCACAGTTGGAGCTAACAAGTTTGGGCAAGGAAATTCAATTACCCTTTTGGTTATTCATTCTGTAATCCTTAAATCAATCCGTGGCATTTATGACGTGAGCAATATCGTATCAGAGAATGGCTGTGTGTACTGCACAGAACATACAGAGAACTGTGATCTGCACAGTCTATGTCAGATCCTTGTATGGCAGCAGCAGTTTAACAGAATCATCTGTAGCTTCAGACTGGCTGTAGTGCTTCCAGAGCTTTGTGTGGAAAGTCTCTGTGCATCAGTGAACAGACCAAAGCACTGTCAATACCCAAGAGTTTTTGTACTTCAGCAAAATGAGAGATAAGCACCACATACAACACCTAAATATAGCAAAGACAGCCTGCTATGAAATTTCTTAATCTTTTTGGCTTTCCTATGCAAGTGTAAGAATTACAATCTTTAGCACTTACATGTGTAAGATGTAAGAATGTTACACAAATGAAAGTTTTTAGATATCTTGTCCCCAAATCATGTGAACAAATCATGTGAACAAACTTCACAAGGTGGAATAATATTCCTCCTTAGAAGGCAGCAACGTTTCTCATGATTTTCAAAATCTGCGAGGTTCTTTGAGCAATTGACTCCCGCAAAATCCTAATTGTTATCATCACGAGTAGAGCAGAGAGAATTGCCTGTAGTTATGTTTGTCTGGCACTCCCATAATCTCCTGTTTTGAAACCTGTACAGCTTCATGAAACCTTAACCATTTGTTTAGACACTACTCTTTTTCTATCTCAGGCTCAATTCAAGATTTCAAGGTTTTTATCAACATGAGATTGTAAAACACAAAGCATGTAGCCAAAGGTGTATTACTTCTGTGAAGAATCTTTTCTTTGAATATCTCTTATGCAGAAATATGAAGGAAACTTTTATTGGAAGGGCACAAATGCAGTCATTTAGCTGACTGCACTGCCTCTGGGAAAAAAATGACACGGATATAACTCTGGAAACTCAGCTGTATGTGCTCACTATACTGTCATTAAGAACATGCTGGTAAATTTGCTGCCATTTTTACTTTCATTGAGTAGCTCCCATTTTCTTCCTCTGTAGCAATCACATCACTCAAATTTCCAGAAATGGCTGGAAAAGGTGTGAAGGATGCAATAGTCAACACAATCCTTCTCTAGGATACAGACATATCTTTTTAGCTCCCATCTATTCTAGGTAATTGCCTTCTTTTACCTTGTGGTTAGTATGAAGAACCTTACCTCTCTAGGACAAACAATTTGCATAGACCTCTGACCATAAAATTCTTTGTGACAGCAGGCAGGAGAACTTTCAGCCCCAATGTGGAGAAATGCTGAGGTTCACAATCTAAGAGAAAAATTGCACTTAACTAACATTTCATTTTAACTGGACTTGGACTTAGAACCATGTAAGTCTATTTAGTTCAAAATTTCCAACAGTTGTTCAGGCTTCAGTCATGACAACACTACCTACTCCAGTGCTTTGAGTGAATAATCAAATTTTGCCTTATGCAAAGCCTTCAAATTTGCATGTAAATTTTTTTTTCAAATGTGCATTTTTTGTTGCAGAGTTTGGATTCATGGGTGGTTATTTCATCCATTTACATCCTGGCATTGCTCAGCATCACTCTTTTCCGTCCTGTCTTCCAGGATAGCAATCATCAGTGTCAGTCAGGTATTATGGATATGGAAAAAGGTAACTTCAGCTATCTCAGATTAACTGAGAGTTAACTTAGAGTGTGCCTGTGACCAGCTGATTTATATTCTGGCTTGCCTTACAAGTAACTTGTTCAAAAGACACCACTTACTGGGTCACATCATTTCCCAAGATACCAGAGATCTTGCTCTTATGTTAAAAGAAGGATTAATTTTTCCACTGAATGTTTTAATGGGCTCTTTAAATGCTGCCATGTGTGTGAAATACAACTGTCTCCAATAAGTCTCACTCTCTGAGAGCTTCACAACTCTTGCCAAACCCTCTTCTTTTGGGGTCATAATTTTTAGCATGGACACAACCCAAAATTGTTAAAGTTGAGCAAGACATGAGCAAGAGGATGGGAGGAGGTATTCCAGCACTGAATTTGTCTTTGCCCAAAGCACAGATTTTTCATTAAGAAAAAGAAGGAAAGGATAAAAAACTTAAGCACATCTCCATATACCAAGTGTATTTGCAAGACCATATTTTTCCACTCAAAATTCAAGCTGCATATCAAAGCTGCAAACATTGTACTACACCTTGTCATAACGCAAGGCTGTGTAAGAGCTTTTAATCTACATACTTTATTCTTTGACAGGTAACCTATAGGAAAGGGAATAGTATTACAAGAACACAGGAGAACCTCTTAATTGGTATTGCATTAGTGTCACTCTGTGCCTTGTGATGTATATGTGTGAAAATGAAAAATTGTGTGAGCTCAAAAATTCCATTAAGGGAATGTGAGGTTTTAGCAATCTTTTATTCTCCTTCCTGAATTAATTTTCCAGCCCAGAGTAACTGATTTTGTGTCAGTCTAATATAAACTAAAATCCAAGTACTTTTTCCTTGTTAGGAAGAGGAATTCACATTTCCACACTTCACTCCTGTCTGTTAAGTATCCATTATGAAATACGTGACTTTCAGTGCTTCTTGTTATCCTCATTCTTCACAAGCCTGGAAACAGCATTTCTATTTTAGGCACTTCTTTTAGTGTTAGAACTGGGATATGAGAAGCAATTTTTCCCTAATGAATTTGAAATTTACCCGTTTCCTAAGCAATGCCTTGATTAGTGGCCAATTCCCAACCAATGGAGCTGCCTCCTGCTTGGAGCTCCATTGAACTCAGTGGCAGGGGTCCTTTTCACACGTGATTCAGTGGAGCTCTGCAGTGGCACTGGCATTATCTGAGCATGCATATTTGCCAAAATGAGGTCTAATTGCAGCTGTAAATATGCATTTCTTTAAATCTTCTTTAACTAAGACTTAGTTATGAAAATTATTCTGCTCTACTCTAGAGAATAATTCTAGCACCTCTTCCCTCTGTGAAGAGCAGAGGGAGTTGAAATTTTCCATGTTTGAAACTCAAAATGGAAAAGAGACAAATGGATGTCTCTCTTTGTTCTCAACCAAACATCCCAATTTTATTTATGGCTTGTACTTTGCTTACCTCACCTTTCATTCTTAAAGCATGTACAGATTAGCAAGGCCCATTATAAACAAAAGATTTTTTTTCTCCAGAGACTGAGACAATCCAGTAAGAAGAGCAAGGCAGTAAATCCCAGGCTTAGAAAATATAAGATGCTTTGTTATCTTCAGCTCTAATGCTGATTCCTTGTTCTCAATACTCTTTCTCTTGTCATTTATTAAACAAAGTCCTCCTTCTTCCCATTTTAAGAGACCAGGATGTGGGTTTATCCTCTTTTGTTGTTCTTCCTCTCTGTACATATTCCAACATTCATTCTTCCATTTTTGCTTATTTTCTACTAAGAATCAAGCTGCATTCCGTGGATAAAAGAATAAATATAATAATTATCAGTAAGGGATGCACACACCAACACATTGAAGGCAATGGAGCAGGCTGGATGTTTATTGTAGCAGTTTTATATGCTTCCCTTACCTTAGCCTAGGGAAGTGCTCTCCTTCGTGCCTAGGGTGAGGAAGTAAATGTTGTGACTGAGGTGCTAACTTTTCCTGACAGGATCACTGGGCTGCATAAAATGAATGGTCAAACTTAGAGCTTACAGCTAACTTATGACAAACCAGTTTGGTTGGTCTGAGCATTTCTGCTTAAGAGCCCCGAGCAAGGGCTATATTACAACCAGCCTGCATGGAGACACCAAGTGAAGGTTAAAGAAGTTTTAACAAATTATTTGAAAACACAGCATCCAGACATTGCCTACACCTGCATCTTCAGCAGAGTTTACTCTCTTCGGCGTGCTGTTCTTCCCGGACACACAACTTTTGACCCATAGTTTTATGCAAGCAAGGCAGGCAATCAGCAATTGTGTGCCAATCAGAGCTGATACTTCCTGTGATTCTGCTGCAAATCCTGAAGCATTTTGGGTTTTTGTGAAACCCGAGTCCCTGGTATAAAGTGATAACATGAATATTTAGAGGTAGAAGAGGAAGAACAAGATAAATTGTTGTCCTATATGTTGCAGGACAGTGACTCATTGTTTTTTCCTTGCAGATATGACATCATGAACCTGCAGTACATAGAGCCCAACCGCTATGACTATGTCCTGGTTGGGACCTGGCACGAGGGCGTGCTCAACATTGATGACTACAGGATTCAGATGAATAAGAGCGGAATGGTCCGATCGGTGTGCAGCGAGCCTTGCCTGAAGGGCCAGATTAAGGTGTGCCTCAGACACTTACTTTCTGATACAGAAATATGAATATCCAGTACTTGTTTTTCCCTGAACTCAAGCAAGCTCCTTTCAAGTTGTCATGGATTGACTCCGGCACAGTGCCAGTGCCCCCATGAAAAGTGTACTCCCCATCCCAGGACTTCTCCACCTCTGCATCTGGCAAGCGGCTCCGGCTTCCTTCTCTCGGGCTGCATGGTCTCCCCTCCCCTACCCAGACATAGCTGGGCAGGGAAGAGGTCAGATCCGCTCACCTGCCGGACTCCAAAGAAGAAGCCTCTCTGGGAGTGCTCTGCTTTTAACCCCTGTGTGTTCTCAGAGGCGTATCCAAGTCCCCAGTGGCCACACCAGGTGCCAATCTGAAATTTGGCCACTGATTGGTTTGGCCATAACTTCCCAAAACCTCACTTCCGGGTCAAACCATGACACAAGTCAATGGGTAGGACTTCCTTACCTTCAGGAATGCCAAAATGATAGAAAGACTCCTAGACTAATACCTTTCTTTAACAACAGCATATACAGGCCCATATTTTCTAAAATTACCCTTTGCAGGGATGCAGAATCTTCTAGTGTGGCAGAATTTGAGTTTTACGTTATGTGAGAAAGATTTTCACTTAGTCATTCAGTGGCTGTGATGCACTTGGGGGATCTCGAAAATATCGTGACCCACAGGAGTCCAGTATTTTGTTCCAGCAGTTACACCTGCAAGGAAAAGTTGATAAAAAACCCAACAAACCCCATGCCTATTTATATCTCATGTTCACAACAGAACAAATGGTAACACAAATGAAATCACTTGTGTTCCCCAAACAGTAGCACTTGCATCAGGCTTCAAATCATTTCCTACCAGTTTTGTCTGGATGACATAAAGACATGTTTCACCACTATCAGAATGGTATGGATGCATTAAGTTTAAAATGGCAAGAAGCCCATTCAGCAAAATCTCCTTAGAGTAGGCCTTCCTTTCTATTTTCATTTAATAAGCACATTTGCGGCTTTTTATTTCTGGATTGCTACTCTAAGCAATAAGCAACTGATGATTTGGCAAAGGCACAGTGACACACTCCAGCATCTTGGAGAAGAAACATTATCGGTATTTACCACCCTCCAAAACATCTTTTCCCTGTTTTTGAGATTGTGCAGTTTGTGTATGTGTGTACGTGTAAACACTATGCATACAAAATGCCAGCTTCAGCTCTCATGGAAGCCTATTGGACTCTCTCCACAGACTGCATGAGAAAATGTTAAACAAAAAAAAAAAGCCCACAAAGCCAGTATTCAATAACACAAACATTTTGTATTTCACTGCTGTACTTATCTCTGCATATAGATGGATAGGAAGACCTGGAAGAAAAGGCTGAATTCCTCCTTCCTGGCAAACAAGGGCAGAGTTTTTGTCAGAGCCCTAGGAGCCAGACATATCCTTAATATTTCTTTCAGCCTCAGGGTAATGAAACTAGGAATCAAGACAAGGAAATAATCTTTTCAGCATTGGATCATCACATTTAGTAGCCCTCACAGCAAAGAAAGAAAGTTTTCAGGGGCATTTGTCCCTAAAAGAGCTGTTCCGAAGCATGAGGTTGGTCACTGCTTAATTATTTTTTCTGCTAAAACCCAATAGATCCTTTTAGCGGGATGTTTTGTAATTTTTTCCTATTTTACTTTCTATTTACACTTGAGTAGTGAGCCCCAAAAAGACTTCCACATAAATTGGAATGCATGTTTATGTGAATGTGCTTGTGTGTATATGTATATATATATATGTATTTATATGCATTAATTACTCTTGGTTCTAACCTTTGACTTTGTTTACTGGTTTTTACTATGCAATAGATATTAAGTGTGGGCTGAACTGCTTGTCCTGACCTCTGCCATCTCACAGATTAAGCCTCAAGTTTGATTGAAAATATGACATTCACCATGCCTCTGTACCAGAGGGAAAATGGTTTTGTACTTTTAACTCAGAACAGCTCTCCTCAAAACAAAATAAAATTGTCCCCAGATGTTATCCTTGAAATCCTAAGCACAAATTGTAATACAGGGATCGGTACAAAATCATGATTGGTGTTTTCTAGCTGTTTGAAAGGTGCCATACACAGGAATCCTGTCATGTTTTAAACAGTGTATTGTGTTATGTGCTTGCTGGGGGGTGGTGATATGTGCCTCTTTGTTTTCTGACAGAGGATCAGAACCCAGGATGTATTTTGTGTTGCAGGTGATCAGGAAAGGAGAAGTGAGCTGCTGCTGGATTTGCACTGCTTGCAAGGAGAATGAATTTGTTCAGGATGAATTCACCTGTAAAGCCTGTGAGCTTGGCTGGTGGCCAAATGCTGACCTGACAGGTAGGCATGTGTCCCTCCAAACACATTCTTTTTCTACAGGGCACAAGGATAGTGCTGTGTGCTGGAAAGTAAGATGGCAGCATGCAGAGATATTAAAGGTACATATTTGGACACACATTCCAGTGCAGCTTAGGATGACTGTCTTTCAGCTTAGTGCAACACCAGAGATAATAAAGACAGCAAAATTTCTGCCAAGAAATGTTATAGCCCGTCTGTTCCTTTCCTTCATTTAGCACAAGTATTAATAAAGCTGTTAAGACTGCTAATGAACTCAGCAGCATTTGCTGCAATTTAGCAGTGACTATCACAAGAGTTCGGTGCATTCTTGTCATATTGACTGAATACTCTTTTGTTACCATTTTACCATGCAATTGCTAGCACTTTATCTGGGACTTCAGGACCTTCAAGAACTGAATACTGGACTCTTGTTTGGTATAAAGATCATTCTCACTGGACCCACCAGCAAGAAGAATTTTAACAAAATCCTGAGAAAAGCTGTCTGGAAGGAGTTAGACTTGGTCTCTCTTGTGTATATGCCTTGGATGAGTTGCATGCTTTAGCATCCTTCTGTTTATTTTTTACTTATCAAGGTCAACCTCCACTTCTGCTCTGGGTTTCACAGCAACCATTACCCCCCCAAAAAAGCTACAATGCATTGAGAAGCATCAACCTGACCTTAACATTTGGTTTGAATCACTATGAAAGACTAGAGGTACCTCTGCCCCATGTCACCTCTGCAAATTTTGGATGCCAGCATTCAGCAGGGCATTATTCCTAGTCACAGAAAAAATCTGAACACCTAGCCAACGACCAAATGTGCAATTTAACACATCTTTGTCCTTAACCATGACTGGCTGACAGATAGATGTTGCTGCAACTTTTAGCACATAGATAAAATACTCAAACTTAAAATAATTTCTTCTATAAAATACTTCAAGCTAGTAACTGCAGCCAAATGAGCTCTCAGAGCATGTATTTTGAGAGGGAAAGCTAGCCACTTCTCCAGGTAAAAATACATTATTAATCACAAGAGACTGGGAAATGTGACCCATTGTCTGTCTTGATTTTCCATGGAAAATAAGTTATGGTCATGTCCCAGATGTGTATGGGACATGACACCTCCCACTCCCACTCCCACCACCCTACCCTGCCCGTGCTCTGGTTTGCAGCTAAACTGACAAACAGATTTCTCGGGATACAGAAATCTCAGTGATCATTCAGATGCTTCAAGTTTCATGTCAGTGGGTTGCAGGGAGAGGAGTTAATGAAAAATACATTCTGTAAGGGCCCAAATAGTGGCAACATATCTGGTATCAATAGAAACCAAAAAATCCACAGAACCTCTCATAAATGTCTTGACTATTTGAAAAGCCCATATTTAATTCCTGCTCCTAGGAGACCAGGGTCTGCTAATCTTAAAACAGATATCCATGCACAAACAAGTTTTGCTCATCCTGGAGGTTCACAGAATTGCTTATATCTACTTTTCAGGGAAGAAAAAGGGACCTATTGATTAAAAAGAAGCCAGAACAAAAACCCTGGTGAGAGATCAATATGCACTTGAGAGAATATGGTTCAGAGCTACCAGCTGCTCAGAGGAGCTCAAAAGGGGTCATGTCAAAATGACAGGCACTGCTGAAAAGAGTTGCGGAAAGAATCAGTGCTGGAAAAAATCTCCAGGGCATGTTGCAATCTATTAACTTTTAATGAAATCAGTAGATGACCTGCTGATTTGTGTTTCTTCTCAGCAAGGAGACCGGACTGCTGGTGTTCTAAAATCACAGTAACGTCAGCCAAATGACAGCATAGCCATTGACTTATTTCCTAGAGAACACTGAAATGGCACTCTGCTCCCGCACTGCTTCTTCAGTCTCTCTTCTTGAAGAAAAAAGCTTATTTTTTAACCCCTAAAATTGATTTACTTGAACTATACTACAAAGTACAAAGCTGTGAAAGGAAGCTGATGCTATCCTAATCTTTAGAAGAAGGGGATTTATCTAGATGAACTTTTCTCTTGAACTTTGTGGGAGTCACCATTGGTATGATTTAATTTGGAATTCTCTTTTCTTGCCAGGACTCCTATCAAATGTGTTTTTATAGCTTGATTTTATATGTTGTATTCATACCCTGACAGTCACCATAGCATCTAGACACAGGCAGTAACATCTCACAGTGCAGATTGTTTTTCCCTTTCCTTAAATCTTAAATGCTAAACATGTATGTGGTTTTAGACTCATTTTCTATCACAGATGGAGGCTCTAAAATCCTTAATCCTTTTAAGAAATGTGAAGCACATACTAACCTATTTCGTAAGACATCCTTTTCAAGGTGCTCATTTTCTCCATTTGAAATCAGTCTCTGTGGCTCAGCAATCATTTCCTGACATTTTAATTTTATTTTTAAATGTACACAGTTTTTTTAGATTTCTTCCCTTAAATGTGAGTTCAGTGAAATGGACTCAGCAGACACAAAGGATTTCTCACCACAGATGATGAAAATCTGACCTGAGAAATAGTCACTAAAGCCAGTACCTTAGACCTTGTGCCAAGAGAAATCTTTTATAGTACTGGAATATAATATAAGATGGATAAATGTCAAGCTAGTAAACACAGTTTACATAAGCCAACTTAAATAAGCAATAAAACAAGATAGAAAAGGAAGTTTTATAGTCTTATGAAAAGAATCATAAGGTTTTGGGGACATCAGTTACCTGGGATGTGTTAATAACCTCAGAAAACATCATAGATTCTCTTATTGTCCTTGCACTATGAATATAGTAATAAAAAAACTGATTAGCCTTCTGATCTTGGAAATTACTCACAGTTAAAATGCAGGGAAAATAGTACATGAAAACTACCAGACAGCTTTTATCAGAAAATTTTAACTGTGAAGCTTTTGCTCTGATTTTTTTGAGGTTTGGTTTAGTTGTTGAGGGGGTTGTTTTATTTTGTTTTGTTTTTATAAATGCATGCACAATTTCCTGAGTATCCTCCCCCAGTCTCAATGGGGTTCCAGAGCCCACTTTCTCCTAGCTGGGAAATGACCCACCTTCACAGGTGCTGACAACCAACAACTGTTAGCTGGTAATAAGCAGCGTAGGGAACTTTTTGCAGTTTGTGCAATATGTGGTTCTTGGGTTTGCTGGTGAATTACACTGGTTTAATGAAACATTTCTAAGCAAATCTTACACAGGATAAGCCTAAAACAAACGATAGGCTTAACTACCATGTTGGATCTGGGTTAAGCCCCTGAAAATACAGTTTAAAATGGAATAATGTGAGTTTGTCTTGATGTTGTTAAGTTTAAAGTCCATATAGAAATTTAACCCTTCCAACAACCACTGACCAGATTCTTTTATGAGAAGAGCTTCACTTGTATCAATCAATGAGCAGGTGCTTCTGATCCTTAGTCTTCTATTAAGTCATAGAGGAGCCAGCTTCCAATCAGGGCTGCTGAGGCAAATGGCCAAAGGTTCACACTGCTCATAAAGAGGTTTTCCTTCCTATTTCACCACAAAAGTATTGGTTAGAAGTATGGGTTTCCTATATGAGTCTTGAACAGACCTCATTCAGCAAAATAATTTTCTTTATAAAATTTTCTCTTCATTTTATAATATTTTCTTTCTAAAATAAGACCTCTGGTAGCCACTGTTATAATTTCTATTGTTTTTCATGTTACAGGAATATGTAACAACAGCACCTGTAGTTAAGTTATCTTGGAGACAAAATTGTACAGAATTATAAGACCTTCTTTCAGTTCACATGACATTGGCAGACATTAAAAGTTCAAGCAGAAATTTTCCATGTCAGGACTTTGCCTTGGGCTGATTTTTTTTTTAATTTAAACCAAAACCATTTTTTCTCCTCTTTCTCAAAATGAGGTTACAGTAAAACTGTTCAGCCATGATCTGTACCTTGTCTTACTTCTCAATTATTTGGAAGGAAGGACTTTACATTACAGTATTGGTGTCTACATTACAGCAGAGGTATCTGTTGGTAGCTTTTATCATCATGTGGGAGGTGCAGATAAATTAGGCAAAACTGTGGGACTCAGAAGCTTTTAGTTCATAGATGGTTCCTGCAAATACCCTCCATACTAAGGAGGAAGGGACAGAGCATGACTTTTGCCCATCACAACAGCAGGGTCCTTGTTAGGATCTAGCAGCAAAAATGAGAGGAAAAATGCCTCTCTCACAAGCTTGCTGACATTACCATCTTTCCCCTGCTCTTTCCAGCCATGTCCAACAACTCAGATAGGCAGAGTTCATGAGCAGCCAGACCAGGATCAGAAAAGATGGAGCAGCAGTTTGTAATGAAGACATCTGTGCGGAGAGGTGGCTAAAAAACCTGAACTGTAAGGTGAACTGAGACAGCAATGGTGAGGGACTGGGAGGAAAGATACTTGAGAGGTGGGGGAAAGGCAGATAAAGTGAGTCATGTCCAAGGGAAACTGGAGGAGGATGGAAACGAGTAGAAGAGGCTGTGGATAATTCACTTGGGTTAAAGAAACATGTTAAAAGCATTTTGGAACTATTAAGTGAAGAACAGAAATTAGAAAATGCCATAATGAAAGATGTCCAAAACAGCTTCACAACCATAACATCTTATTTACACAAAGGATTTTATTTTCTCTGTAGTGGTTATTGCTGGTATTATTTCAGCACAGTGAGGAAGATATCCAGAGACTCCTTTAAGTTGAGTGTGGGAGAGAGCAGTTAAGTACTGTCTTAACAGATACCTATGTTTACATGTCTGTACTAGTCAGAAAGGAGAGTCTTTACAGTTTTTATCTGAAGGCATGCATATTCTGTGGGTTTGACTCTTCCAAGAGAATTAAATTATATTATTTAGAGGCAAAACAATGAGCAGAGGGTTTGACAAAATAAGATACTGTGAAGAGAAAAAAAGCAGAAATGTACTAAGACGGTACAGTATCTATGATATAGTTCCATTAAAATTTTGGATTTATTACCATTTTTCTGTTCATAGACCTCTGATTAACTTATAACATTCATAAAATCAGTCTCAAAAAATTGTAGTAGATCAAACTATAGTGATTGTGGTAATGATTGAATAAATTAATCTGAGGAGGTAAAAAACCTACCCATTTGCAACAATACTTTCCCTGCTGAAACGAAGAGATGATGGTGACTTTGTCTGGGTTCTGTTCCCAGCTGTGCCTTTGGTATGCTGGGCTTGTAATCAGGTATCTCTAAAAGCAGATATTTCCAAATCTAATGTCCTGTTGCAGCATAATGAGAAAATGTTTGGGACACCCAAAACTGATGGCTGTTTTTTGAAAATATTAATCCAAACTTTTCTATCATGCAGTTCACTCCTTTGTAAAATGGTTTTAATAATCCATGCCATACAGACATATTCTAATGTTTGGATTATACTGAGATCCAGCAAAAAAGGTCCTTCCAGGAGCTGCCTTTCTAACACTCTGTTTCTCTTCTGTACACTGCAGGCTGCGAACCCATCCCTGTAAAGTATCTCCAGTGGAGCAATATAGAGTCTATTGTGGCTGTGGTCTTTTCCTGCCTGGGGATCCTGGTCACCATGTTTGTCACCCTTATCTTTGTGCTCTACAGAGACACCCCTGTTGTCAAGTCCTCCAGCCGCGAGCTCTGCTATATTATCCTGGCTGGCATCTTTCTAGGTTACGTCTGCCCTTTCACCCTTATAGCTAAACCCACCACGACATCCTGCTACCTCCAGCGCCTTCTGGTGGGCCTTTCCTCTGCCATGTGCTATTCCGCCCTGGTGACCAAAACCAACCGCATCGCGCGCATCCTGGCGGGCAGCAAGAAGAAGATCTGCACCCGCAAGCCCCGCTTCATGAGTGCCTGGGCCCAGGTGGTCATCGCCTCCATTCTGATCAGCGTGCAGCTGACACTGGTGATCACGCTGATCATCCTGGAGCCCCCCATGCCTATCCTCTCCTACCCCAGCATTAAGGAAGTTTACCTTATCTGTAACACCAGCAACCTGGGCGTCGTGGCTCCCGTGGGCTACAATGGACTCCTCATCATGAGCTGCACCTACTACGCCTTCAAGACTCGCAATGTGCCTGCCAATTTCAACGAGGCCAAGTACATTGCATTCACCATGTATACCACTTGTATCATCTGGCTGGCCTTTGTGCCCATCTATTTCGGGAGCAACTACAAGATCATCACCACCTGTTTCGCAGTGAGCCTGAGTGTGACAGTGGCTCTGGGATGCATGTTCACTCCTAAGATGTACATCATTATAGCCAAGCCTGAGAGGAATGTCCGCAGTGCCTTCACCACCTCAGATGTGGTGCGTATGCATGTCGGGGACGGAAAGGCACCTTGCAAGTCCAACACTTTCCTCAACATATTCCGGAGAAAGAAGCCAGGGGCTGGAAATCCAAAGTAAGTGGATTGACATCAGGTACACATCTATCTGTATATGTCCCTCTCTTTGCCATCCTCTCTTGGTTGACTGTAGTCTGCTGGATAGTAAGGTATGTAATAGTCTCATCTCATGTGTAGCAGAGAAGGTGGAAATGACCATTTAGTTCTAAGTCTCAGATGGATATTGGTGTGCTGCTCATTATCTTCTCTCCTGCTCTGAAGGAGCCCCATGCACAGCTCCCTCTACAACTGGGGCAGGTCAGCCAGTGGCAGAGTGACCAAGCTCCACTGCAGCTTCTAACATCTCCCTGTCCCATGGGTGTCTGTACAGGGATCTCATGCCTTGACATGCAGTTGCTCTGCATTATGTTCAAACTGAGGTGCTACTGTAGCCTTTTAGAAAAGAAATCTCTGCCTTTTAGAAAAGAAATCTCTGTCTGAATGATTGTACTTGCCCAAGGTCACTGGAATGTGTGTGAAAGCTGAGGACTGAACATAAGTTTTTAAGGTAGTGTATTGTGACAGTCCTCATGACTCTGATTCAAAAGCACCCTCCATGCTATCCCTGTGCTCTATTTAATACTCAGCATTATGAGCAATACTCTTACTCATCATATGTGTAAACCTCTCCATGTTCTCAAACTCAGCGTTGGTATGAAAGTTGCAGAAGTCAACTGATGGTGAAAATGAACTTGCATTCACATCTGTGGAACTCATTATTTTCCTTGCTAGTAATTAAAAGCAACCCAGATGCAGTTGAGCAGGAGAGAGAACTGTTACTTCAAACAGTGTCTCCCTGTGAGTAGCTGTCTGAAAATTTGCATTCTTTATTCTCTTATTGTTTTTTAATCTTTAAAGAAGCACCATAGCACCATAGGACTACCTACACATGAGCTTAGATGATTTTTGTCACAATTTAAAAAAATAAAAATAAAAAAGCGCCAGTGAAACCTACATTTCTGAGCTTCCCAATAGAATTAAAATTCAGTTAATTCCCAGTTTTTTGGGATCTGTAGATTTCTCTGAGTCACTCAGGTTGATTTTGATTCAGTTAGCATAAGAACTGTTTTCATCTGTCCTGGTGATGGAGGTAATACTGTAGAAAACCCATGCTGTGATCAATTTTGTTTTTTATGCTACTTCAGTACATTTTATTTTTTTGCTAGACAGGGGGTCAGAAGGGAAGGGAATGACCAAATACACAGCTCAGTATGCCACAGAGGCCAGGGAGGTGGCCAAAATCTCTGTAGCCCAAGAGTTTGAATTCCATGCAAATAGAAAGATGGAGCCTGATCCACCTTCCTCTGACTTCATGGTAGTTAGATGGGGATTCAGACATCTGCAAGAAACTAGTGTGGTGTCCCTGCAGTGTGGTTTCTGCCTAACAGTGTTGGTTTCTTTAAGTTGATGTCTGTCAAAAAAAGAGGGCTTTTGAATATTTTAGGTCATGAGTGACTTAATAACTAATTCTCTGTTCTGCTTACTCTTCTTCTACCTTTATTTAAAAAAAAAAAAGTAATTTAAAAGATCCAAATGTGATATACTTAGAATACAGTTCATAGTATAAGAGAATATTACATCCTGTTCAAAAGTCAAGCTTCTCTCTCATCATTGTCACCTTTAAAACTCAACAGGGCTTACCTGAGTTTTTAAGCAATTTGTTATGTAATTTTAGTAAAATTTTCTTGAACTCTATGTTAAGCCTGTGTGAATGTTACAAAGCAAAAAAGTTCTACAGAGCTTTAAGTGGTTTTTCTAAACTAAAAGCTCAATACCTAGTTAATATGCATTTTTTCCCTCAGGTTAAGCATCTGTGTCTTTTATGCAGCCAAATGCCCACCTCTAACCTAAACCTCTTGTGCAGTTACTGCATGTTCTTCACCCAAACCAGCACAGGTGCAGAGGCACCCTGGGATTGCTGATGGAAAAGGACAGCTCTGTTCATGGGCATGAAGAACCGAGAGAAGTTTAATAGACAAACACAAAGCTTTCAAAATAAAGTCACAAGGCAAAACGAAAAGTAATTTCACAGCTTTGAAGAGGTTTTTTATCTCCTAGCTGAGTCCATTGCAAAGTTTCTGAGGACATTGTGACAACACAGATAAAAAAAAGCGAGTCACTGTGGAAATCAAGAAGGAAAAAGTAGAATTTGCTGCAGCCTTGGAAGCACCTAGACAACTCAAATGTGTAATTAGGTCCTTCCTGAACCAGGGCTCAAAGCTACTGGTACTTGCTCAATGCCCACAGGAATGATCTCCAGACTGATTTTCAATGGTTTTGTTTATGGTTTTGTTTTGGTTATTTTGTTGATGGTTTTGGTTTTCTTTTGGTTTTGGGTGGGTTTCTTTTTTATTTTGTTTGGTTGGTTTGTTTGTCAAACATCAAAATCCGGGATTTATTTGCGATGTTTTCATTAATTCTAGTCCCTGTAAGTATGTTGCTCTGTTTCTAGATTCTTCAGTAGTCTCTCCCTGTGGCCACATTTTTCTGTCTATAGGTGGCCAGCAGTTCTGCACTCAAAAGATTTCTCTTTTAGATGTATTAATCTATCTTCTTGTTATGCCTTATCCCTCTTCCTAGTTTGGTTTTCTTTTTCTGCTTTTCAATTTTCATCTCTTTTCCTGTCTGTATCAAATCTCTTCTCTGCTTAATCTATTGAATTCCAATTCTTAAACAGAAAAGTGGCATCCATCTAAATTAAATTGATGTGGAGATACAGGGTTAAATTTAATTTGTTTTAAAAATGGAAACTGTTTTACATTTACAAGGACAGATCAAACTTATATAAGCCTTCATAAAGCATTTTCATGCAATGTTATGCTGTTAGTTTAACTAGTGTAGCTTGGGGACTAGAGCAAGCTGAACACTCTTCCTTTCTCCTTCCTTAAATAGAGCAAAAGAATTAACCAGGGAAGTATACGAACACAGGATCAATTAATCAATTCAAACCCTTCAGCTGCCTCTGGTGCTGACATAGTGGTCAGAAAAGTCATCTTGAAAAACATCTGTCCCAGCTGCATTGCCAACAGAGTTTCAGTGAAGATACATTTCTTAATAACACTGGTCTTCACATAAATAATAAAGCACACTGCCTTTACTGATCTGTTGCACTCTCAACATGGTATTGGCAGTCTTGAGGGTTTGAGCTTATTCTTATTTTGATTGAGTTAAACTATGAGCAATTACAACGAACATTGTTTCCCATAGAGCTGGTGGGTAATTTTCCAGTGGAATAGATACGTTTTCCATCAGAAAATTCTGGTCTTTCAAAATGCTTCATAGAATTGGGCTTTGCTGGTAAGTATTTACCTGGAGCCAGGGGGACATTCTTCTTCCTACAGAAAGAGGAAGACATTGGGAAATCATGAGAGAATCTTACCCCAACAGTCAAAGCACTCACTTAGGCTAAGAGCATCTCCTTTTCCAGGTGGATGATCTATAACTGGATTGTGCACTGTCCAGGGCAAGTCTCTTTCTGTATGTTCTTGTCCAGCAGTATTTTGGAACAGAGATAAAAATATTGTAGTGCAAAACCTAGGGAAATACTTGGCATAATTCTGTGAGAGAGCTTGAATCTGGGTCTGAGGGATCCCTCATGAGTGTCTTCAGTACCAAACAACTGTCATTATTTCCCTCTTGTCAAATGAATATTTAAATATGTATAAAAAATGGAGCAGCTCCATCAGGAGAGATGAAGTGAGAGGGATATCTGCTGCTTGTGTTGAAGCTTTGCGAGTACATTTATTGTTCGTTTGCTGCTTGAAGGTATTACAAGATCCTGGCAGTTATAGGATGATGACATAGCTGCATTTGTTAGAAGAGCCTTTTTCATCTATTTTTTATTTTTTCCAGATGTGAGATGGAAACATTTGTGTATGGATCTTGCTGTGATCTTTAGCCTTCTTCTTGGTCTTAAAAGTTATTTTGGTCTATGGGGGTCAATGTGCTTGAAGAGAAGGACACTTTTACAGTGCCTGAATGATACCTTCCCTGAGGAAGCAATGTTCCTTTCTGGACTACATGAAGGCAAAAAAACCCAAACAGTGACACTTCAGATGCTGATTCTGATGAGGATTCAGGAAATGCCTTCTCCAGGAGTGCTGCAGGGGTTGCCACAGTGAGAAAGTTCATTTTGTCTCTTTGGGTAATAAGTTCCAGGTCTGGCAGTGATGCATATCTGCTCCCTCAGTCTTCATGCAAAAATTATTTTAAATTTATAATTGAGACCCCAGGTCTGGACACCAATTTAGTGCATTTTGAATCAGAGCAAGTAAAGATTTAATTGTCAATATACATTATGTAGCAAAATGTGAGTTAAAAGGAAGCCAACCAGCAAGACTTACTAAATGGCCAGGACTCCACATTAATGTAAAGGCTACCTGCTTTCCCCTTGTAATTTTAGTATATTTACATTCAATTATTTTTCATCCATCTGTCTGCCTTTAGAAATTAATAGCTGATTTAAAGTACTTCCAAACATGTAATTTATCTTTTTCACACATTTCAGCAGTCCGTGCCTCTAGACTGCTGTCACGGGCATCCTGTCACCTGGGCCATGATCTCTCAAAGTGATTTATTTTATTCCAATAAAAATTTGCAGGCAACCCAACATCCTCTACTCACTTCTTCCTGCCTCCCTTTATCCTTTCTCCCTGTGTGCTGGCTCCCTACATACAGTTTTTTTAACTGAGAATCAGGGTTCTCAGTAACCTCTAGTAACACACGGCTTAGGGAAACCTTCTGCTTTTTGTCTTGCCAGTTATAAAATTATCTCCAGGTATTCTGAAGTTAATGTTTCTCTTTAAAGTGACTCACTGAGCTGCCATTTCATCTTGAGCAAGCTGTACTGACAAGCCATGCTTTTCTGGCCTCATTTCCCTTGGCCATTCACAGTTCACAAAGGCTTTTGGGCTCTTCACCTCCTTCATTTTCAAAGCCTCCCACAGACACATGGTGAGGGAAATCTTAGCACAAGTATGCCCAGAAGATTTTGTTTCACTGGTTTTCATGGTGGTGGG